ATAAACCTCTTTAGCTTGCAATTTATAATTTATCTAATCAATTAAACCTAATTAAAATTTTAAAACAGGCAACCATCCCCAGAAATAGTTTTGGCTGTAAACCTTTTTGAAGCGCTTTCGTTTGGCTGCCGTATTGCAATATTTACTTTATCCTACCAATGTACTTAAACTGCAATTTTTAAACAAGTGGCAACTCTCTAATTATTTTTTCCTATATTTTAAGTTATACCTTTAATAATGCACCGCTGAAAACTGCATTCGACTTCATGCATTAGTTTTCGGGTGATGTGCGTACAAACATACAGACAGTCAGACAGACAAAAATTTAAAAAATTGTTGATTTATCTTCTGTTGCTCTAATGGAGACTCCTATATCAATTTTACTTTAATAACTATAATGTACAGACATTGGCCAGTTAAAATTTTATTTTTCATTAGTATGTATAGATTTCGTTTTATGAAAATTGATTTAGGAAAATATTCTTTCAATATTTGTTGTGACTACTGGAATGAAAAAAAAAACAGCTGAAATTTTTTTCCCAGAAGAGAAAAGGTTAGACCTCCATTGCCCCGTTTTATCGTAAAAATCTCTCATGAAAAAACAAAACTAAACTAACTAAAAAATTATATCAAATCTAAACGACTGAACAAAATTATAATTTGTACTAGGAGGTAATTTGAAAAACCTTTGGCTTGCCTAAAAAATTATCTTATCATAAGTTACAACATCAGTGATGTTTTGATTTTCTTTTTATTGTGACATTTTGCTAGAAGTCACTCTTTGATGCGAAAATGCGAAAGGCAAAAATGAACGCTTTGTTTTGCACAAAAGCGTGAACAGTGTTGTTGCTTAGTTCAGCATAGTTTTCTCGCTCTTTGAATTTCAGTCAGAGTTTCAGCTGTGCGAAACGTTGCCATATGTTTGTTGTAAAAAACTGTCGAATATTACACAATTTCGCACTTTCGCTCAAACGCACACAGCTTTGCCTTAAAGAGTGAACTCTAGTTTTATATTTGCTTTTCCAAGAATATTCCTACGAGAAATTTTATCAACTTCAGTAGTACATATTCGTAAATCATAATAATATTTTCATTTTAAAAATCATCATTTGCGAATTTATAGCTGATGGGTAATGACTGCCTCAGGCCTCAGTGCTTAGGACACGCGCGTGCTAATCTCATTAACAAAGTGGTTAGTACTAAATAGTACTGAACGATGAAACAGTGATTTCATGTCGGATTCAGTGATGATGGGAGCTGAAGAGGTGCTTTAATTTGCATTTAGTTTTCGTATGGCATTTTAACCCATTTAACAAATGCGTAATTGCAAGATTATTCGCGTACGAAATAGTATACCTATTAGAGATGCCGGATCGAAATAAAAAAAAATTTGGAATTTTGCTTTTACAGAATTTTCTCTTTAATTTGGTACCAATACTGTTTTTCTCTGCACCTAATTTTTTTAAGCAGTCATATTTTCAAGGTCCTTTGAAAAAATCCTGAATTCAGAGAGTAAAACTAAAAACGCAGTTTTACTTTATCTGGTTACCCATCATTTTATGTAGAGTTATTTTCAATAGGCTTCTCTGAGAAACGTCGTAGTTGGAGGAGAATGAGAGGCAGGTTATGAATTCTGTCGTCTTTCATCTCTAAAGTTGTAAAGGTGGAATGTGCCAAGCCCTCGTAATTTTCAGTCGCAAATCAATTTTTTTTTTTTAATTTTATAGATTTTCGAGGGAAAAACGTTGCTTAATATGCATCAATGGAGGAAAAATCTAAGTTCGATTCCCGAACCTTCCGCATCGCTTCACGGACCGAAACGGATATAAAAAAATGTTTATTAAAAAAAAAGTTTTTATTTCCGAATGTATGTACATAATTGCCATCGAAAAATCTAAAAAGATTACACCTAGGATCGGCTAAACTATCTTTTTTTTCGTAATTGCTTTACTACTTATTGCTAATGACTTAACTCTCAGGAGTGCAAGGCGACTTTTTTGTTTGCTTGTAAGTTGGTATGGTCTAATGTATATACATTAGGGTGGTCCTTAAAAAATCAAATATGCGACTTTTTTCAGTCTCACCCCTTCAATCGGTAATACCACGGTCACACACAAATTATGATCCCGATTGGAGACGGTTAAGGTGTGTCGCACAGGGGCCGAATTTCAGATTCCTCTATAGAGACTCAAAAAATTAAAATTAATTTTTTTGCCAACTCTTACGCAAAATCGATACTACCGTAGTCGAAGATATCGCATATAAATTTTGGTCCCGATTGGAGTCGGTTAAGGCGTCATCATAGGGTAATCTGAATTTTATACCCCTATGCGCCACGCCTCAACCGACTCCAATCGAGGCCAATATTTATATGTGATATCTTCGACTATAGTAGCATCGACTTAGGGATTGAGGCTTAGGAGAACTGATGTAAAAATTTGCTTCCTACAGTTAAGGACCACCCTACTATACATACATTTGTATGTAAGTTCAAAGAAAATAAACAAGTCTTGGTATATTTAAGAAAATTTACACTCTCGATTACTGCTCATCACTTAGGGAAATAGTGAATGTAATTCTTTGTCACTATTTCTTTTTGAAAAGTAAAGTTTATGTACATATGTATGTATGTATTGAATGTTATTATGGTTTACTGTTTGTATGTACATATGTATGTTAAATGAGAAGTAGTGATTAGCAACTAAAACATCCGGAACTCTTTAAAAAATTGCCATTGAAGTGACAAGCTTGCAACATAAAGAAATTAGATTGCAAAATTTTCCTTTGTGTGTGAAAAAATACATATTTTCGCTAAATCAGATTACTTTTTTAGTAGCGGTACGTCTGTGCCGGTAATGCCGTTCTACTGCCCGCATATGTCGGTTTGTTGAAACGTACGTTCTGAGGATCGAGTGGCGAATAAATTGGTCGTCTATTGTGATTAGAGCTTTATATGCATATAAAGCGTTCGCCGTCTATTTATGTTCCATACTGGTCTGGAAAATAGCCAGCTCCGCGGCAAAAATTAGAATTTTGGAGTGCAGTTGGAAAAACCTTCTCCCTAAGCCAAACTCAATTTTTTATCCATTCGTAAAAATGGATGCTTCGAAGCGTTCAGTAAAAGTAGTAACCTTCTACTCCTTCTTTGACTTAAAAGAAGCGAAGGTTAGATGTAGTCAGATTTTTCTCAGATGCCTGGATCATTGAAAGAACCTGTACTCTTTCGCACATACGCACTCTCCAAGGACTAAGTAAGACAAATGAAAGACAGATAGCAAGATAGTTCACAAGATTTCTGTTATTCTAGCATAAAAGTCTTAGGAAAAAACTCTATCATTCACCATTCGTGGTGAAAAGCTATTGTGATTGAAACAGTCGCAATGGCCGAGTGGGCGGCAAATCATAGGCATGCCAATCGGGAGATCCGAGTATCAGTGCTGGCGCAGCGGAATTCCCTTTTTTTAAACCTACTTTTTTTAGTTTAATCTTTCAGATTTTTTATTTTTAAAAGGATATATATATTTTAATTTAATTTTTAGAAACTTGTTTGTGTTTATTTATTTTTTAATTAAACTTTCTTTAATGGCTTGGTTGTTATGGTTTTAACATTCTTTTTACATTTTATTTTAATTTTTAGATTTTATTGCAAAAATATAAATTTTTATAAATTTCATTTACTTATTAGCAATTTATTTGATTTATTTTTTCTCTTTTTTTAAATTTAATTTGTTATTCTTTTGGTAAATTCGCTTTCTTTCAAATTTGAGCTTTTTGTTTGAAAAAGAAATAAATATATTTTATTTACTTCATTCAATTTTTTGGAGTTTCTTAAATTTTTTAAATTGTTTTTTTTTTTGTATTTTAAATAAGAATATTTTTAATCGAATTTAATTTATAAGTACTATTTCTTTCTTTTTTGATATTTTTTTTCCTATTTTTAACTTAATTTTCTTTTATTTTTTCCTTTTTATTATTTTAAAGTATGTTTTGTTGATTAATTTAATTGAATTTTTATTAAAAACTTTTTGCTCAAAGGCGAACAGCATAACGCTAAGATCTCTTCGGTAGGAAATCTTTTAATTAGTCTTTCGGAACAGAGTAAAGAGCTTTTAAAATAGTTACCAGAGTTGACAATTGTCTTTCGAAAGACTGTGTATAGTTGGAAGACAGTTGCCAGAATTTAAACATATTCCTAATAATTTAAATTAATATCTTTATTAAAAGAGAAATAATTTGATGCGTAGAAATAGTTTTCCAAGCATTTATTTCTCAGCGGGGGCCAGCTTCTCATAAATCTGTTCCCGAAATACGCACAAGTAAATATCTATGCAATTTCTTAGACTTATTTACAACCATACTCACACTCACACGTTCAGGTGTGTATGTAAATAATTTTACACATGCTTACGCATATATACATATATATGTATATATGTACAGACATTAGGGCGGAGTAATTTTTTCGGAGCAAAATGTTCAAACAACGAGTATTGCAAATTTAAATTCTACGATTAATTCTAAGCAAAAATTGTGAACAAACTATATACCAAAAATGACGTTTGACCCTTCCCATTTTCAAAAGGAAAAACAGTATATTGCAAGAAGAAACACACAAAATTTGTAAAGGAAAAATTATTTTAGGTCAGAAAAAAATTTGAGTACACTGATATTAGTTTTCAAACTGGCAGGGTCGAACGAAGAATTCGAATATGCCATACACCTTTTTCGAAATTAAATTGCTCCGCCCTAATTTACATATGTACATACATATACATACATACGTCTATATGTATTTGGATCGTCTACATAGTCTATATTCATTGTGTACACACGCAGTTGATGTTTCATTAATTTTCCTTGATTTTCCATTTCCTCATTTTCTTTCACGTTCTTCTCGGACTTTTTTCGTTTTCAAAAAGATATTTTTGTAGCAACGAGCCGCAGATGCGCTCGAAATTTTTTAAAAATTACCAACCAGTTCATTTGATGCTTTAAATTGAAACAGTTCGTGCGCGTGCGGATGTTTTCGAGTAAAGTTTTACTAAAGCCAAAAAATTATTTTTACATATTTTTATATATATATATACTTGTTTCAAAACCTTAAAAAATAAACCGTAAATTTAGCTGAAGTAAAAAAAATAATATTGCACTTTATTTATGGAAAACATAAGAGATGCACTCGTAGAAACGTAAAACGAAAATCGATCGATTTAAAAGCGATGGGTGTTTGAAATTAAAAGCTTTAAAAAGTTGTGATAAAATTCAGAAAAAAAAAAAATTAAAACGAAAATTAAAAACGAAAATAAACCCATGCACTGTTATAAGTAGTTAAAAATATTTACAAAAAAAAAAAATTAAACCAAAGTGCGTTTTGAACGCCAACATTTACTTGTGATTTAGTATTAGACAAAAAAAAATTAAGTAAAAATCTAGCGGTAATTTTAGTTTTGAAGTACTGTGAGCAAAAAATAAAGACCGCATAGCGTTAACAAAAAAAAAAAACCGAACGTGCACAGTGTGCTGCAGAATTTTGATGTGGCCACTAAAATTGGTGAGTTGCTTGAATCGGACTATGGCGCCACAAAAATATGTATGAATTCGACTTGCTGAGACCGGCTGTGTTTGCCGGGGACTATGTAGCTAGCGGACGTATACGCTTACCAAATGTGTGCCAAAAATATTTTTGCAGTTATTAGTGTCAAATTCCTGCTTTTAGTGCAGTTATTTGCAATGCACAGTGCAATGCAAAAATTCCTCTGCGCTGAAATGGATAAAAATGGAATGGCACAGAAGTTGAAATCTAATTTGCTAAAGCAATGCAAGGAATTTGCAGTTTAAAAGCTTTTAATTATTTTTTTTCTTTCAAGCTGTTATTTTTGTTTAGAATGCAACAGTGATGAGTGGTGAAATTTATTTTCATTTTCATGATGCTGGTCATGCGTATGTAGATTTTTTTTTTTAAGCTAACTGTTTAAAAAGTCAAAAGTGTAGGCATTTTAAATGCTAATTTTTATTGACGTTATAGGAAAGAATTTACCACAGATTTAGCGTCACCGGGCGGAAATCCAATGGGTTTGTTACACTGTTGCTTTATTTGGTATTTTCCTGCCAAATTTTGTAGATTTTTTCCTCTTAGTAGGTAAGTAGATTTATTAAGTTTTGGACGGTTTTCACGACATTTGGTAATGTAAACATAGACTTATGAACTATTTAGTACATATATGCCGGTTAACTAAAAATGAAGACATGAGAGCCATGAGAAGTTGACTAAACCACGAATTATTATTATTTTTTAATATAAAAATAAAGTCGCTTATTCCTTAATTTTGTGGTATGCAATGTAGCTTTGTACCTTATGCAAAAAATAAGTGACCTTTATTTTAAAAGTTTTCACATTTGAGACTATTTTAAGATGGTTAGTACAAAAAACAAAAATTTTTATGTTAGGCCATTTCTGTTCTCATGACATCAAATATCCCAAAGAACCCCATTGAAAGCTATAAGCCTAACTTACTATTTTTGGAGCTCTCAACGAGCGATCTTTACTTCTACTTGGGCCCGCTATAAGGACGTTGCGGAATTACATATACCTAAAATAGTCACATCCAATGTTTTTGGAGCGTTGTAAAACAAATTTTCAGTGGAATGTTTCTTGAATCTTTTATTTGAAAGTTTATTGCAGCTTTTCTCAAAAAATATTTAAAAGTATGGTTGCAATTGGTCTTAAGATTAAGTTAAACTCATACCTAAACTTAAGGGTCGCCCTTGTTTGTCCATGAATGAGCTCAAGTAATTTACGTGAAGTTAGACGTCGGAGAGTCATAGTTCTGTCGTTATAAATGATACTACTACCGAGTAGCTTTAAAGCTTTCTCAATTAGGGCGCTAAGTAAGCTCCATTTAACATACAACATTTCAATTCTTAGTTGCCTTAAAAGTGCTTAGTGAGTGCTAATTAAATGAATTTTTTCATGCAACCCTGCTGGGTATGTTTAGTTTTTACTTTGAGGTATGTTTATTGAACAAATAACAATCAGCTGTTTGTTTCTGGTTCTCTGGGTTCCGGGATATTGAATTTTCAAATTGTGCCTAATTTAGGGAAAAACTGTACCTTAAAGTAGATAAATGTATTTATAGAGTGAATATTTATATTTATAGAGTGAGTGAGTGGATAACCTTTCTCTATGGCTATTTGGCTATGAAAAGAGTCTTTTCGAGCAGTTCGAGACAAAACTATGTTTTCCAAAAAGGTTAATCCCTTTCGTCCGAGTTCTTCAACTACAGTTACGTTAATTTGACCACCATTTTGTATAATTTGGAAACCCGATTAAAAAAGGCTAAACTGCTTTTATTTATAAATTGATCTATGTAGGTCATTGCTCAATACTTTTTCTTCACTGCCAGTTACAAAATTATACTCTTTTCCATCCAAGCAAAACCTCTTTTCCCAAAGCTCCACCCAGAATTGCAGCGGAGGACAGTAAAGCGGTCGAAGGTTAACCCCTGCCACAATTAAAACTCACAAAGGCATATTAAGTGGCTCACAATAGCGGCGGCAGTGTTTTTACCGTCGACGTTTTTCGGTCGATTTAAATTTATTTATATTTTTACCGCCCGGCAGGGACCGCACAATGTTGATTGAGTGTTGATTGTAGTAATTATTCATGATAAAAATATAGTAAGGTAGAACCGCTGAGAGTCACTTTTGTCGTGCGCCGCAATTGTGTTTACTCTGACGGATTTCACTGCGGAAACTGTTCAGCTGTTCACTTACCGCCGACCGCTTACTGTCGTCCGCTGTAATTCTGGGTAAAGCTTAAGGCTGCAACCATTTTTGTTTCATTTGAAATTTTTTCATTAAATAAGGCAAAAAAAATAAAAAATGTTTTCGGCGCAGACAATTTTTTACACGGTATTATTTGCTACAGTTTACCGAGTATCTGCTTTAATTATTATAAGAAGACTTCGTACGCTGGACAAAAGAGTCAATTGAAACTCTCATATCACAGACTTCATAGTAAAACATAAGGGGCGCCGCGAAAACTGATATATTGGTCATTCAATACGATATTAGAACCGATTACTATTTTCTCATACGCGGCACTAGACTGGTTGCAAAAGGTAAATCAAATCGATTTTGGCGTAATCCTGGGAATGCTTCCCCATATGGCGCACGCAGCTGGGAATCACAACAAGCATACCTACCCTAGTCATAATTGAAAATAGGGCTGTTTGAAAATGGATGGTGGAGGCCTTTGGAATCACATGATATCCAAAAACCATAAAAGTTTCGGTTTCTGTAACGTTGGAGCGCGTTTAGCCTAAAGTGGTTGCAACTGGGTGTAGTCGTTCGTTCTTCTGGGTATGCAGTTACGTTTGTACGACTATACACAAGTTCAACTTTTGCGTCCCCGTTCGCGTGCTCTGGACAACGTGAGCAGCCCATGTACGAAATGTTTTGTGGGACCACTCCGACATATTCGGATCCACTGACGCCAGGATTTTTTTTGAAGGACTTTGAAATTGGAAAAATATAAATACTCCAAAAAATAATTCAAAAATTCAGTGCAATTTAGAAAAAAGTATGACTATCAAATTAAAGAGAAAATTCTATATAATTAAGGCCGACTATAGTTTTTGGTGCATAAGGACGATTGGGTATTGTAAATGTCCTTTTCACATTTCATTATTGAATATCCTGGAAATTTGACAATAATTATTTTTGAAGAAATTATATGTTAAGGACTAATATGCACTCGATCACATGCTCGAATTTCGTCCTTCTAATTTTATTCGCTTAAAAATGTAAAACTAATTAAAAGGACATTTTCAATACTTATTCGTCCTTGTGAACCAGGCAATTTCATTTTTTTTTAATTCTACAGAATTTTCTTTTTTATTTGGTTTTTCTACATTGGAATGAGTTTGTTAAATAATTTTTGGAATTTATCATATCTTTGAAACTGCAAAGTCCTTTTAAAAAATCCTGACGTCAGAAAGAGAAACTAAAAACGTAGTTTTACTATATGTGGCCCACAATGTCGTAAGTATATTGTTTGCTTCATGTGTTTCGAAAATTTTTTTTGTATTTGTTGCACGGCGAAATCATTTTTAGTAACTTTTTACTAAATATTAAGTACTTTTTAGTTAGGTAAGAATAATATTTAGTGAATCGTAGTATTTGTATGCCTGTTTTTAACTAATTTTATGAGATACGAAGTAGTAGTGATTTCTGAGATACGAGATTTTGCCAAAGTACCGTCAAAATGCGTTCTTGAAAATTTTTTGGTTGTGCGCTGCGCATGCGACACGCCATATACTCTGATTATAGACCGGCTATGAGGACTCAAAATTAACAAGAACGAAAAATGAACTGAAGATGGCACAACGCCGAAACCGGTTTGTCTCCAAACCAAATTTGACAAGCGATTACGTTCCACTTTCTATAATACTCTTACCCTGTCGGAAACACCAACAACCGAAAATGAGAACTCAAAATTAGCTCGAGAGTAGCTGACCACTTTCTCCATCTAGTCAAAATATTTTCTCGTTAGACTTTATGTTTAGACGACAACACTGGAAAACGAGCAGGTGGGAGCGTCACTGACTACCGGGGTTTCTTTTTGGAATGGATGTCATTTTCTTAGCTTAACCTGCGCTGGGAAAATACTAACACATGAGCAGTTGAAAGGTCCTTTTAGCCGGTGAAGATCGGAGGCCCTCAAAGGAGCTCTATTCGCTTACAAAGTCAAGACTAAGTATATATTCTGTTGGGGGTTATGCCGGATCATTGCCCAATCCGAATTCGGAGCTTAAAATTCTCATATGATCCTTACTACCACATTTGCCTGCTACCAATGAGCTTATCCGATCATATTTTTAGCAGAAATCTTCGTATTCTGGACATGGTCGACACTCTCCAGAAAACGTTGGACCTAGCGGAACAAAAAGAGAACTGATCGAAGAGATTCATAACTACTTCTAGAGAATTGCTGAATGAGTTCTGAAACTTAACCAGGAGACCCTGAATACTCTTACCTGCTAACTGACTAAACACTGTAATTTTCCATGACGTAAGATGGGACTCTCTGAAGAGGCTGACTGCAGTGTCTGCAAGGTTAAAAAAATAGCTGCATACATACGAATTTATGTCTATATTGTGCTTTAAATTATGACGGCGGCCCTTAGTGATGCCATGAACTCTCATAAGTTTTATTTTCAAAATTTGTGTGGATTCATAAGACAAAATGGCTCTATAAAAAAGACGTTTGTTTTAGTAAAATTCGTTCGAAAGTAAAACTATCTGCCAACGTACAAGTTGGGACCATCTATACATATGTATGTATGTACTGTACGTATGTTGTATATTTTATTCTCAACTTTTAAACGCATTTATTTTGTTAATTTCCTAGAGCAGACGTCAATGCGAAAGCTTCCGGTCACTGCCATATTGTACTAGTCCGTCATGATTTAAAAATACATACTCTTCACAAACCGACGTGAAATTTATGTATGTATAGTAGGTGCATACATATGCACAATAATACATACATACATACATATATAGATATAATTACAGATAAGTCTATCTGATGTTTTTTTTCTCATTTGCCTCTAATTTGTACGTAGCTTTTCTTTGCTACGGCATGCTCCCTTTTTTCATGATTCTTTAAAAATTTTACTGCAAAATTTTTCTGCCAAAAATTAAAATTTTTGCAAAAATGGCAAAATAAGACTTGCATAGCTTAAAGTAAAATGTAGTCAGCTTTTAATTAAATACTAAAAATATAAAATGAAAATTGTGTTATAATTTGATTACTGTGAGTCAAGCAGAGAGACAGAGAGAGATATATGTAGATCAGTGGTAGTGTATGTAGATATAGAGAAAGAAAAACCTGTGACGTCTGCATGTACATATGTTTGTATGTACTTATGCACACTGTATGCAATGTTGCCAGATTTAAAGTTTTTTTCGACATGCTTACAGTGGTTCGAAATTTTTCTTTCTTTTTTGGAAGTCAAAATTTTTAGGATGAATCGGGACGATGAGGTAGCGGCGTTTCCATTCCATTTTAGTTGCAAAATCAGATGTGGAAAAAATAATTTCCCAAACAAATTGAATAACAAAGAAAATGAACTAGAAATTCCAGCACTCTCCGGCATTTTAAGAAGTAATTATTAAAATAAAAAATCTTTACGTATCGATTCAAATTGTTAAAAAATTAACAACGAAATTTATGTAAAAAATATTGAATTTGAACTTCATTAAAACAAAATGTGATTTAAGTTATTTATAAAACTTATTTTTGTTTAGTTATTTTAAATGAATAGTTTTGTGTCATTTATGCTTCATCGACTTCTCTTTGTTTTTGAAGGTTACAGTTTTTTGGCCGAAAATACAGTGTTTTTTTTGGGAATTTACAGATTTTGAAAAAAAAAAAAAAAATGTGGAAACACTTTCTGTGTGAGCAAAAAAATTAAATGATAAATAAGATAATGCACATATATGTATATGCACGTATCTATGCATTTGGCTATGCATGCAATAAAGAAGAATCACTTCTCCTAACTGAATGAATGCGTTGCTAATTGTGTAAAGTAAAATTTTGACTTTGATTCTTCATTTTATTCATTCAATTGTATTTTCTTTATCCTTCAATTTCAAGGGCCACTGCGAGTATTTAGCTTTCTGGTGTTTTTTTTTTTTAACACAAATGCACTTGTAGAAACTCTTGAAATTGTTAAAATGAACCAACGTGTTTTTGCCCTAACAATCGCTTATCGGTTGGTATTTTTGTTCATGTTTATATATGTATGTGCATGTATTTTATTTATATTTTCATAAGTCGGCGCCTATCATAAGTTTAATGTGAATATTTTTGTTTGTGAAGCTGCCAAGCTACAGGCCAAAATAAAAGCTTGATTGCATTACTTTATTGGTAGATCTACCAACTTTTTTAGCTTTCATATATTTTCTACCATTTTTACCAACAAAGGTTTAAAATCTACCAATATTTTCCGGAAAGACAGCAGAGAGATTTAAATACATATGTATTTTGCCATCGAAAAATTCATTGAATAAACCTGAAAATTCATATATGGGGTTTTAGAATCGTTGAACCCGCATTTGAGATCCGTTAACCTCTATAATGTCAGGTTCGCGTTCATTTGAGGGTCAAATAAGACCAAAAATTTATTCAATAAAACAAATAAATTTTTTTTTTTGTTGTCGCTGAATCCCAACATGGGGGCCCCATAATTCCTCAAGGTTATCTATATGTCATGCCAAAATTAAATTCAGAAGAACTGTATTGCATTTTTAGGTTTATTCAATGAATTTTTCCCTACTTGACCTTCAACTGACCACGAACTTGACGTGATAGGGTTGCTCATTGCTAAGAGAGCTTTGGTCTAAGTGGGTCGTAGGACACCCAGAACTGCCGGGTAATCCTGTACGATCCTGTACGGTTCCACCTCTGCTTAGCCTTCGAGTGATAAATTTCGGTAATCGACGCTTTTATGTCCCTGAGCGAAGCACCCATGTCCACCGCGTGGGGCACATTTAGTGCACATTTTGCAAATTTAGTCTTCCACTAGTTGAGATCTAATAGAGGTAGAAGAGAGTACCGCAATGGCCACTTGGCTATCCGAGAAGATGTGCAGATGAATATTTAAGAAAATCAAATAATCCTTTTCAATGACATGCAAATACATTATTTATTTATAGGGAAATAATATAATAATACTTTAGACTCAGGGGTGTACGGCGACCTTTTTACGTTATACTGTAATGATCTATGTCTATTTGATGAGCTTCGTGGAAATTCGAATAGAAACAATGCCTTCTCGGGTACTGGCACTCCAGATTACATGTGGAAGTAGATCGGCGTTTAAATACGTCCACAGTGCTGGATTTCGGGGTTGAGACTATAATTTCCTTATTTATTTTGATGCGCTGAATAGGAATCTGAGCTTAATTTTTTAATATTTCTTTTCTTTTAATTACAGTGAAAAATGGAGCAATTTGAGCAATTACTGACCTGTTGTGTATGCCTTGATCGGTATCGCATACCAAAACTGTTACCATGCCAACATTCATTCTGTATGGAGCCATGTATGGAAGGCCTAGTGGATTATGTTCGACGACAAGTATGTATTAAATTAAATTAATCAGATTAATAGAGAAAGAAATATAGAGGGCGCTACTGCGAGCTATTTAGTAACATTTTTAATTTATTTAGAATTTCATGGTGATGTGAGTTCCTAGGATTAAACATTCGATTAAGTCAAATAACATATTAGATTTTGCATGCTGATCAAGTGAGATCAAGCTCAAGTCGGAGCTTTGGCTCACTTTTAATGCATGAGACCCAATGTGTTGCTTCGACGCATTTAAGATTACCAAGTAGTTTAAGTAAGAAGTTGATGATAAATATTTTTTTTTTTGATCAGAGAAAAACGGAAAATGCCGATGTTTGGTTATTTTCGATATCAGTTCTCTTGTGTTTATTGGTGAAAATATTGTAAGTAGATATTTGTATGTATGTCCCCAGGTTTTTTGAGTTGCATTTATCTTAAAGTATTTTGTAACTTCTGACCCGTGAAGGGACGAAACAAATTTGCATTCAAGATACCTTTAAGTCGGACATATTATGACTTTTTGGCTTTTATAGATGCATACAAATAAATATTAATTATGTTTATAAATATATGTATCACTACGTAAAAAAATATTATTTAAGAGGTACTTTTTTCTGTTAGATTCGATTTTTTTTTAAATTTGAGTTACGAAAACTAGAGTTAAAAATTTTGTATTTAAATTTTTGTTTTTTTTAACTATTCCAAAATTTTAAAGTTATATTGGGTAGGCGACTGACCTGGGGCCTATATCATAAAAGTGACAGGTTCGACAAAGAAGAAATAGATTATTATTACATATGATTTACATATAAATTTCATATGACTGGCGAAAATTTTGTCAGCGACAATTTTAAACCCCGACAATGACAATTTGTCACTTTTCCAATGGAATTTCTCATGGAATTTAAGAGGTGGTGAAAATGGTTTTTATGAAACAAAACACCCACACATCGAATTGTCACTGACAACATGGAAAAAGCCTGTCATTACAAAATTATCACTGTAGAATTATGAAGTCAATTTTACAAGAAATTTATTAAAATTGTGTGGGTATATGGAGTGCTGCCCATGTAGTCTTGAGGGATCGATTTATTTTTTGACGATTCCACCCTGCATGATTATTTTTATTTCGATCTGGCATCTCTAACTTTGTAGTAGTGCTGGAAAAAAGTCAACAAAATATTATTTATTTGTCATCGCTGCTTTTGGTAGGTCCTTCAAAATCGTCGTAGGAAAAAAAAGATGGACGCTTTTTGTTTGTTTTTTTTTCAAGGCAAATTTTAAAATCGCCATTTGGCCTAAATTATTTCAATAGAAAATAACCGGCCGTCTGTCTGTTTTGGTTTTAGTTTTCATGCATTGGCAATAAAATGAAATGATTTTGATTTTGGGGCTCACGGTGCATTGCATTTAAGACGTTTCTGCGTGATTTCATCAGTTCCATATATTTTAATGCTAACCGATATAAATTTGTTCACCATCCTTTGATTAAAAAATTTCATTCATGCATGTATATAATTTTTAGGTAAAGTGTCCTGAGTGCCGTGCAGAACATCGCATCCCATACAATGGAGTACAAGCATTTCCAACGAATGTCACCTTGCAGCGTTTCCTTGAGTTACACATCGAGATAACCGGTGAATTGCCAGATCCGACATCAGGTTAGTAGACTTTCATTGCCTTATGTGGTACATAAATGTGTATGTATTCACATTGGACCTTGTCACGTTTATGGGTAAAAGAGATAGAAGATATTGAATACTCACTATGAGAGTGCTTCAGGAGTTTTTACAGGGTGCAGAAAAAAAAAAATTTTTGTGACACGGTCTCTAACCTACATACTACTACTTAGATAATTAAAAATTTCCTTAAAAAACGACAAAACTTTCACGCAAAATAACCATTTCCAATTGACACTCCTCTTCTAGGGCAAATTATGGAGCGCTGCAGTGTTTGTTCAGAGAAATCGTATCTCTCATTTTGCGCGCATTGCGAGAAGAAAATTTGCGAAGACTGCAAGAGCGCCCATATGGACATATTGCGTCGTGAGATAACCCGATTCAATTCACAAGTGAGTAAATACAAACTCTTATAAATTCATGAAGAATTTGCTCAAAATTTTTTTCTTCCTCCTTCTATAGATTCGCCGCAGTTTGCACCGCTTGCAAGACACACTTGCTATTATTGAGAAAAACACGACTAGCCTGCAAACCAATTGCGTGGGAGTGAGCGAGGAGATCGACGAGATCTATAGACGTATAACCAAGGCAATTAAAGATCGCTCTGACCAGCTAAGGGGCGAAGTCGACCGCTATTTGACAGTCGAGATGCGCAATCTGACAACGCTCAAGGAAAATCTTGACCATGAGATACAGAATATTAATAGCAATTGCGACATTGTCGATAAGTACATGAACGATACAGTCGAATGGGATGACTGTGAATTGATGGACACGAAAGAGATTTTCCTCAAGACGGTTGAGTTCCTACGCCACTTCGAATATGAGAATGCGGACTATACACGTCGTGTGCGCTTTCTAGTGTCCATTGACCCCAACCAGCTTGTAATGAATCTAGCCACTTTTGGTGACTTGAACATAGCACCGCACTCACAACCCGCAGGTTCGTTGAGCAGTTCACATTTGGCGCCACCATCTGCCTTACAACCAGGCTTGATGCGTTCGAAGAGCGATCACCGCCTTGCTACGCAATTCCGTCAACAAGAGGATCGTGTCGGCTATAATGACGAACCGGTTTTGGGTGGTCGCAAATTCGGCGAACGACCAGTGCGTGCCAACAACGAGCGATATGGTGATGGCGGCAATAGTCGCTATGGTCGCGGTGCCGACTACGACTACGAGAATGAATTTGACAACGAACAGCCAACATCCCGCGCAGGAAAGTCCTCGCGCTTTCGTTCCCGTTTCGTGCGCTCTCATCAGAATGAGGATTCTGACAGTGAACAACAGCAAACACAACGTCAGCAAGAGTTGGAGAAGAAGAAGGATCGCGTACTAACCGGCGAAGATGTGTCACGGGGACAACTCAGTGGCATTATTCGCTTGAGTGATTGTGCGCGTGTCATACAACGTTTGGCGGATATTGGCAAGGAGAAAAAAGAGAAGAAGGTGGATACTGCCGCACAGGCAGCTGTACAAGCGGCGATTCAAGCACAAAAAGCGTCGATGCAGCGTCCGAGGCAACAGGCGGCGGCCGCGCAACGACAAGTATCCGAAGACGATGAAATTGGACGCATTAAGCGCCAGAATAAGAGCACACCAGGTGGCGCTGCAGCAGCAGTAGCGGCAGTTAATACCGGCAGTACGGCTGTTCAGACCGCTGAATCTGAGCGACCTCCTGCGGACCGTGTAGCCGCACTCAAGCGTACTGGAGTGGCACAAGGCACCAGCGAAGAGAGTGACAGCTCTAATCATGCTTCACCAGTGCGTAGGACGCCACCACCAAGGGCTGAGGTAAGTGTGAATGAGGCAAATGAAGAAGAACAACCAAGCGGTAGTCGTACAAGTAGGTTGACATCAGGGACTGGGATTGAGGCCGTACAGCAGGAAGTTGGTGGTAGAACAGAAGAAACAAGAGATGAAGAGACAGAGGAGGAAGAAGAGGATACAGAAGAGGAGGAAACGGAAAGTGAAGATGATGTAGTAGTGTGTAATGATGAAGAGAGAGCAAGACACAAAAACGATATGGCAAAGAATGTTGAAGGAAGTCGAGAAGACGAGGAAGAAAGTGATGAAGAAGAAGATGAGGAGGAAGAGATAGATAATATTCAAGAGATAGGGGAGAGTAGGGAAGAAGTACCTAATTCTGGATGTGAAGTTATTGTGTCAGAATTAGCGACAAAAGAAGAAACAGAAGATGAAACAAATGAGAGTGATGAAGGGCAATATGAATCCGCTGTAGAGGAGGAAGAAGTAGAAAGCGAAAAAACTGAACACAACGATAAGAACGGTGTAGGAATAGGCCGAACAGTGAATGAGGCAAACGAAGGTGTAAAAGTTGGGGACAAGCAAGAAGAAGCAATAACAAGTGGAAGTAAGGAAGGAGTGACAGAAGATAGAACTGAGGCCAATCAAGTAGATACTGGCGAGAACGCAGAAGAGGATACAGAGACCGAAACGGAAACGGAGACCGAAACTGAAACGGAAACCGATACCGAAGAGACGGAAGAGGAAGAGAGCGGGGAGGAAGAAAGTGTTGCGCATAATGATAATAGCAGTTAAGGGGAAGTTAGAAATATTGCGATTGAGGGAGGTCTTTGATAACAAATTGAAGAAGGATTTAATTAAAGATCAGCTGAAGAAAGTTTTCAGCTAAAAATAATTAGGTTGACTTTTAAGATAAGGTATCTAAGCGTGCGGTATATTGTACATAGAAAAAAAGTGTGCAGGAGATTAGAAAATATGTTTCGAAGTTATAGCACTTAGTTATTAAAAAATTAGTATTTTGCTTCCATCTGAAGAAAAGGGGCAACAGAAAGTTTGCGGCTGTTGTGTGAGATTTGAAGAGGGCAACCTCGATAAATTTTAAACTGTGCATCAAGGAGAGCTTGCGGAATTATTACGCGTGACTAGAAAGTCGGAAACTGGGTGCCTCACGAGCTCAAACCAGTAGATATCGAACGGCATGTCACTGTTTCCCAAATGCCCATTCAATGGAGCAAAGCGAAGTGGTTTTTGCATTGTTATGTCATCGGCGAGGCAAACCGGGCAATGCAATGCTTTGGTGGGACTAGAAGAGAATACCCCAACATGAGCTTCCGAAAAGTAGTCAGACGATCGACGGGGCTCTCTATAGACAACAAATGATGCGATTGAAGCAAGAGATTGCGGAAAAGCGGCAGAACTGTGCAACCAGACAAGAGTCATTGATCTGCCGATGCTGTCTGGACGATGCTCGACCGACATATAGCCCACACCTTGCACCATCAGACCACCATCTGTTGCGGTTTATGCAGCACGCCCTTACGGCAGTACGCGTCAGTTCAGTTGAAGGTACCAAAAATTTGCTTGATACTTTCTTCGTCTCTAAAGACGTGCAGTTTTATGGGCTAGAAAAGTATGGACCAGTCATACCTAGGGAGATGCAATACTTTCAATAATAAAAGAAAGTACCAGTTTTGCACAATAAAGTTTAAAAATCGAGAAAAAATCCTTTAAAATTTAAATACTTGTATATAGGTACATAAGGGCGGGAAAATATTTTTTTCTATGCGCGTATAGCATAGGAGAATTCTACGTGTAATTATAAGCAAATTTGCCGAAGAAACCACGGACCTAAAATTAATTTGGTTTTTGCCGAATTGCGAAAATAGGTTTCGAAGAAAATGTGTAAATTTTCACAGCTGTGCCCCAGGTAGAACATATTTTCGCAAATTGGCACACTTCAAATTGATTGTAGACCAATGTTTGCTTTGTAAAATTTGCTTAGAATCACACGTAGAATCCTATAAGGGCATAGTCGAAAACATCTTCCAAACAAATTGACCCGGCCTAATATAAATTTTTATTTTTTAAACCCATTTATCTATACTTCCTGCTGTCAGCCTAGCACGGCCATCTTCAAAGTATATTTACGTGTACTGTCTCTGATATTTGTTTAATTCAATTTTAATTGTTACATAGTACGTTTTGCAATTTCTACCCAAAACCTTAGAAGTAAGCCTATATACCTGTTTGTCCTCTTCTTTGTTTTCATTCACACTTTCCACTTTCCTTAATTTAATAATTAATATTCACCTTATTTGATTTGTTTCTTTTAAAATTTTTTGCACTAAAATTTTTTTGAATGTGTTTTTTAATAATACTCTACATACATATATAATTTTGCTTTCTTTGTTTGGTTGAATAATCTGACATATAATTTATATTTAATGAAAAGGCATACACATCAATTAAATGAATCGAAAAAATAAAACTTTTCTGGGTACTAATGACTTCTCGGCACCGTGTTACTTTTATCCTGTTATCTTATACTTAGTCCCTCTCATGGAAGACCTAATTAAAAGCTGCTTGAATTTTAACCCACGGCGCAACTACATAATTGATTTGTATGCCTTTAAAAAGCGGACATCAGAAATACTTACCACATACCTACATTTGTTATTTTCTTATACTAGATTTTGTTGTGCTATATCTAACTATGTAATAAATATGTATTAATACAAATTCGTAAATTGAACATCTCGTACCTTTTCGATAGCGGAATGTTCGTAAAAAGTGTTTCAAGTAGATTTGCAAAATATTTCTATTACACATTAAGGTAAATATTTAAAAACGAAATAAAATGAAAACTTATTTTGCAGCATATACTGCAAAAAAAATACCGCCAAAAATTTACTGTTTTATTTGTAATCGTAGTAAAATTGTACATTTTTGTAAATATTCCTACCACGAAAAATTTGCTTTAAATGCGAAAAAGATTTGGGCGCGATGTTAATTTACGTATGTTCTAGCGCTGCTTTTTATTTGAAAGAGCGCTAGAAAGGGACCTTGGATTGCTTTCACTTAATTTATGTTTTTTTTTTGCCATTTTTTTCGATTTTTATCAGTTTCTGATGTCCTTTTTCGTGTTATATTCACTTACCTACATATTCATGCACACTTCCCATCCACTGAACCCCTAAAAAATCAAATGACTCCAAATCTGGTTTGTTCTCATGTATTGACCCCGGTTACTGTAAATATAAAATTTCACATTTCTTGACGAATGCCATCCACTCATTTGGCAATTCCATTACCTTTCATGCCATGTGAATGCGTTGCTCGATCCCATCTACATACGAGTGAGTACCTTATATCATTTTCATTAAATTTCTCATCGTTTCTTGTTGCGAGCGAATCTTTTATTTGAACTTGACATTCTCGATTTTTTACCAAATCTTATTTCTATACCTTTCTCATTTCTTTCTCTCTCCTATCATCTCACTCTACATACATCCATACATACATACATAATCGCGCATCGTTATTTCTGCCGTTATATAAAACAAAAAAAAAAAAACAAAAACAAAAAAACGCACACGCACACATGCACGCTCTCTTTCGCTCCGCGTTCGCTGTTGCTTGCATTAATTTCGTCCATCAACGCATACAATCACTGCACGTTAATATCAACAATTAATTTGACATTGTCTGTCGCAATTGCCGCCTATTTTATAAATTGCGGTGGCAGCAGCAGCAGCACTCACCACCACCGCCGCCGCAATCGCCGCTACAATCGGCTCGGCAAAAGCCCAATAGCGGCGATAGTTCTGACGCTGATGAATCTATTGTTGAAGGCATTCACACAACTCCAAATCCACCCACTTCTTCTTCCATTCAACAGTCTAAGGCGCCAGTGTCAGCACAGGTAGCGGCCGTGAAGAAGACCACCCGTTCGGGCAGCAGCGATTCGACAGCGTCAACAGAAAGTTCTACCAGCTCAGCTGCCGCTGCAGCACCGAGCAGTTCTCGTGTTCGCGAGAGCCCCGCACGTACGCGTGCCACAGCAGCAGCAGCAGCTGCCGCCACTAGCAGTGTGGCCAACGCCAACGCCGGCAGCAGCAGCAGCAGCAGCAAAACTGCAACAACTGAGAAGAAACCCTTCGTAAGCCGTTTCCTGCCACAACATAGCAGTGCAGCTGCTAGCAGCGATAAAAAGAAGCCAGCAAGTGAATCGAGTAGTGAGGAAGAAACCTCCACAGAAGAATCCGAGGACGAAGTTGACAATAAGTCGAAAACAACCGCAACAGCCGGCTCAAGCTATGCCGCGAAGAGCTCAGCGGGCAGCAGTGCACTCTCATCGGGAGGTGCAGGCAGCTCGAGTGGCGCATCTTCATATCGCGTTCGCTTGGAAGCTAGACGCAATTCGCGCGATGACGCCTCTTCGCGTACCTCGTCGAGCTATGCAACTCCGTCCAGCAGCGGCACCAGCGGTTATGGTTCTTCTACGCGCCAACGACCCGTGCCAGCATCACATCACGCTCACGAATCGGACGATCGTTATGGCAGTGGCAGTAGCAGTGCCGCCACAGGCAGCAGGTAATTTGATGTTTTGATGTTGAAATTAAGTTATCAGATTCGCTTAAGATTTATATACTTTTTTGAATTCAATTGATTGGCTCACATTTCGATTTGCTTTCGATGTTTTCTCTGTTTGATTCTTGCGCTGATCCTACTAACAAATTTTCCGTCTGCTTGCCTAACCATGTGCCATGTATGACCGCTGAAATTTATCAAGTGTTAAGTTGTATTAAGTGAATTACTATGTAGCTAATAAAAAGCACTAAAGGCGAAAATACAGAATAACAGCTTAGTCGCCTTTATACTATAACACATATGTACATACATACATTCATTTTTAATTGGTGCGGAACTAAGGAAGAGTATATATTCTACAAGTACTACAACAATAATATTTCTCGTGTGTGTATAAACAGAATGGCCAAAGAAAGTTTTTTTTTTAATATCCTTTTTTTTTTTGTTTCCGCACGAGTTTCTTCTAATAGTTCATTTCCACCAAGTCTTAACTGCAGTTACGCCTTTGGTGGAAATATGTTAGAAAACAGGAATACTACGAGCAGTGCTTAAAAATCTTATAACTCCACAGCTGGTTATCTAATATTTTCTAATGAAAATATTTCGAACTTCACTTTTTATATAATTACTTACATACACGCGTGTTCACTAAAATATATAGTACATAGTACACATTTTTTCTTCCTTACGACTCGAGTTTTAAGCTGGACTTGTAGGCATCAATAGTTGAACCAATAGTTGGCTGCCATCAAAACTTAATTGGAAGCGATTAGCTGAAAGGCTGTTCACACCAGGCGATTGATGCTTTTAACCGAAAGTTGCTTGTACAAATGGGGATTAGTACTTCAGCCGACTTACATAGTTGTTCGGGAATCATTGGGGCATTGAGATCCTTTCCCTCAGAAGCATTGAGTGTCGTCCCCAATAGGATTTCGATTGATTCTATGCCTGAAAGAAATCGTGATGTACTCAGAATTAAGACTCAATAGCAGGTACTATTGAAAACGAAGACATTCGGGCATAGCCCAATCCTGAGCATTGGTCCAATAGAAAATAAGGCTACGGACTACACGGTATCGATCCAGGATTTTGGCTTGAATGTATTGGTGCGGTTTCCATCCAGAAGGGAATGGAGAAGAGGCCAAGCAGATGATAAGGAATAAATCTGTATCTACACTGACGGATCCAAGATGGACTGCGGTGTGAAGGAAGGAGTATATTCAGAGGAGCTTGATACCACTCAGTTCCTGCGGCTATGGAACTATGCCAGCATATTTCAGGCCAAAGTCCTGGGCATATGTGAGGCTTGTAGGTTAATAAATAATAATACTACTAGAAAAGTAAAATCAGCATCTCAGTAAGTGTCTATCTCTCTTGTATGGGTTTACGGTCATAGCAATATAGACGGCAACGAGAGATCAGACTAATTTACCAAGGCGGGAGCTTGTTTGGATGATTCGCAGGCGGTGGTACTGGAATACCCAAAATGGTACCATTATGAGCTAATTGAATCCTGAGTGAAACTTGGGAGGCACTACAACCAACCAACCACCATTTATAGTGGGCTATTAAAAAGTGCCTGCTGATACCCCGAGTCAGGTTATTCATACGTGGACTTTATATAAATAATTTAAATAAAGTATTGGCAGACCGGTATGGCAGTATTGGGCCATATCATTCGAATGGACAGAAACGCTTCAGCTCTGAAAGTATTCAATACAGGTCGGTGCTGGTAAAAGAGGAAGAGGTCTCCTCTGTATTGGAACGACCACGTGGAGAAGGACTTGGCTTCACTTGGCATTTCCAATTGGCGTCCGTTTGCACAGAAGAGAAACTACTGCTGTACTGTTTTGGGTTCGGCCAAAATCGCTTAGGCGGTTACAGAGCCGAAAAAGAGGAAGAATATACATTATTTAATTAAACAACAGCGTCTACTTGACGCCAAAATCTTTTTTCATATGGTCTTTCTATCGCAGAATACGCCCCCTCATCTTCCGAATTGAGGGCTTTCACTGTCCCGAAGGCCCGAAGGGTAAAATGAAACCTAATTAGTGGAATCCGGAGACTTCATTACGGAGTATAGGAAATCCTTATGAGCACTCACTTCCCCAGGTGCTCTGCCTGACGACTCTATAAACAATTTTTCCCTTATGACCGAGTGAAATGGGCTCCAACCATTCAAAGCTGAGCGACTTAATCGATTATGTTCCTCCCAATTACAAGCCGCTAAGGATACACGGTGACATCTGATTTCTAAATTCTTTATACACACGAGTGGACAAAAGCGAAAATAACAGGGCAGCTTCACTCTAGAGAAGATTACAGATTAATATATTCGGCGGAAGTTAAAGATTGATAACCTCCCTAAGAATATTCTAAGGACAAATCCATGGAGACCACGCTACAGGAATTCGTACCAACTATTAAAAAATGTTCGGCCGCCAATTATTATACTTTCAATCCCGAATCTGTTGTTAAGCTCCGCCTTTAGCTTTGGTCCATCGGGGGCTGGTGAATTTTCTAAGCTCCCTCTCGTACAGAGAACACTTTTTTCATAACCGGGAGAATCTCCCTTCTATGTACTATACTCTGTCACTAACGCCATACCTTAAAATCTCAAGGCCACTTGTCAAGCCATAGCGTATGCTGACAATATAGCAATCGTAACAACGGCTAAACATCTGTAAGTTCTGACTTATTTACTATAAAATACCTCATCCTTGTAAATATCTGGTGTAAGAAATGTGGAATCAATAATACCAAGACCGAGATGGTATTCTTTACGAGGAAATATAAAATTCCTCTTTTCATTCCATAACGTGGTCAAGTACATAGGGACTGTTGTAGACAGGAAACTCGCCTGGAAGTGAAACATTGAAAATCGTTCAAGAAAAGCCATTAACGTGCTGTGCGCCTCTAAGGCGGCTATATAGCGGACGGATGGCATGATTTTACGCAAGCACTACCCTATACACTGTACAAGCAAAAATTATCTGGAATTAATTTTTAATCTTCCACCGTGGGAACTGTATGACAAATTTCTGTCAATGTAATGATGTCAGGTTCAATTCGTTCCAGCTATGAAGAGAGCTGAAAAGCGGATAAGCAAAGGTTCAAAAACTACCATTTACCGGACCATTATAGCGTTTTTTTTTCTGCTCCTCCAGAGCCAGGCTGCTATTAAATATCTAAAATCGAATGGAACCATGTCAAAAGTGGCCACACGATGCAGAATAATTCGCAACCAGGTGGCATTCAAATGCTCATTGGCCATTGTAAGGGTCCCTGAGCAGATGGAAATTCTTAGAAATCGCTGGAAAGGAAAGGGAGGGAAATATCTATGGCCTTCTCATAGATTGAAGTCTACATACACTCATCTCGGAGGTAAACACCAGATGAGCAATGAAACCCATCTGCCAGAAAAGTTGCTGTATCTAAAGCGATCCAAAGCTCTCACTTGGCTTTACTGCTGGTCTTTTAGGTTACTATTCGGGGTAGTACCGAACACTGTCCTAAGGGTACGTCTGGAAAGAGGTTGGGATATCCAACCAACGATTTTTCAATTCAGCGAATATTATAGATTGTTTTTTTATTATGTAAAGCGCATTAGCTGGTTCAATTTCTAAGGGATTCTGACAGTAGTCTCACGGCCTTTTTCAGGTTGGCAATATCTCTTCTGTTTGAGAACAGAGATAACCAATGATCATTGTTCATACGATCAGGTTTAATTCCTATTTATTTATACGTTTGTGGTCAGTAGTAAAAATTGCTCAAGAATTTCACAGAAGAAAAGCTAAAAACAAAAATACTTCAGTTATTTTTCTTTAAGTTATATTTATTCGGTGTTTTTGTGTCGCCGGGTTGCGGACACCTAAATATTATATTCACTTTATCCATTTCAAAATACAGTCAAAACCCAATAATCCGAACTAATGATTGCAGAGTTTCGAGTTTCGAATTATAGATAAATTCGGATTATCGGCTAACTAGATTTGGAATATGAAATTTTATTAAAGAAAACACAATCTTAAGTACAAAAAATCAAACATTTAATTTGCATAAAAGTAAATGATTACTATAAGTTTTGCGTCTGATCATTCTCAACACCCGACATTAAATATTCGCGACTTATCGAGTCGAAAGTCGATTGCGTTACGAAATTTGCAATTCTTCGGTTGCAAATATTTTGAGACCTCTATTATTCAGAAATCCCAGCACTAAACAGCAATCAATACTTACAATAGCCTTAATTTTTTTTTTCTTGCCTCCAACCTCTAATGGTCGCTCTATTCCCAGTTAATTTACCCAAATTGCATTCTATGCTTAAATATTTGCATATTCGTATACATAAATAAATAAGTACTACCCTTCAACTTCGTGTGCATATGTATGCGTATTTTTGTAAACAATTTACATACTGTTATCACTTTTCAATTTGTCAAATGTCAAATGTGTTGTATTCTCGTTCTCTTGTTTGTTGTAGCTTTGTACATCTGCGTGATTTCGGACTAAACATTTTGGCACTTTTCTTCATAGTTCGCGTCATTTTTCGAACAATTTACAAGATTTTATTTACACCAAAGGACGAGAGCTTATTGAAATAGCATTATATTTTTGACGAAGATTTCAATAAAAAAAAAATAATAATTATTATTATATTAATGCATAAACATATTAAAAACTCTAATTCTCAATATGTATGTATGTCGATCATGTCATCGTTAATATTGTTTTTTGTTTTTTTGTATAACTGCCATTTTGTACAATAAATGTCATCATCGTTTGCGAATTTTGTTTGTTTAGTTTAAAAAACACAAAAAAAAACCAAAAAAAAAAAAAAACAAAAAAATTCTACTCAACTCCTTCAACATTTGCCATTTCATTTAAGTCGCCCGCAATCAGCATTTTCCCGCTAAATCGCTTTCAATTCGTAATCGATCAGAAACCACCAACTGCAAGCGATAATTAATTGAAAACAAAAACCACAGTTTCTAAATTCATTGGAAAAGTTTTTAATTAATAATTTTTGTTTTCTTCTTTTTTTCGTTTCCGTTTTCGTTTTCCTCCAACCAACCGCCATTGTGTCTTTGTGCGTTTTTTATGTCTTTTTGTAGTACGAGTATGCCCACGTTTAGTTTGCAATATATCAGTAGACCCCGGACACGTTACCGAAAGCGGATTGCGGATGCTATACGAGATATCAGTTGAACAATACAACGCACACACGCGCACGCGCACACAAACTCACTCGAACCATTTCGAAATTCTTCCATACTCAATACAAACTTTTGTTGTCTTTTCGTTTTGAAATTAATTACACATTTACATAATCGTCTGTTATTGTTTTGTTCAAACGCTAATAATGCATTTCTTGTGAAATGGCATAGTTTATTATCTAAATAAGTGTTCGTATTAACCTGTGATGATACATGAATAAATATTTGTTTGTTTTTGTGCTAACAACTTAATTTCTGAATTGTGATTTTCTGTAATTTAAATATTTGTTGAGTGCAAAAAGAGAGCTTCTGTACAAAATACGATATATTTTTAAACGAAAATTTTAGATAAATATAAAATCTCGAAATATCTACATACATACAAAATTAATGTAACAACTAATAAGTTAACTAAAATAATTAATTAAATATGCAATTTAGCAAACGAAAACCTATGAAGTGTATTTGATTTTTTGAAGAATGCTTTTTTGATCGAGCAATTTGATTCGAATTTTTTTAGTGGATAACGTGAATCAACAAATGACAGTAGCGATTGATAGACTATTTACTGCTTCAGGATTTTTTTGTTTTTTATTTCGTTCACACAATATTCAAATATTTATTTTTTAAGAAATAAATTTCATTCATTTAAAAAATAAAACAGTCATCGAGGTCTGACCGACCTACACTGGCGATCAAATGTGAGTGCATGGTAATTTTTTTTTTTTATTATTTGCAGTTAATTTTTTTTTAATAAAAATATGGTTCTTGCTTTAATCAAAACTACATAGATCAAACTTTGAAACTTTATACAGAACTTAGAAAAATTCAAAAAATTTTCATCTTAACTTCGAACTTTTTAGTCTGAATTTTTAGAAAAAGTTTGAGCGGTTAAAAAATCGCGTTTATTTTTTATGATTTTTTTGCTGGCGGCTTTTTGCACATTTTACCATATAAGAGTGCATTTCGTATGGAATAAAATGCGCAAGACCGTTTGCAAACAAAACTAAAAAAATTAACGCAAATTTTTATAAATTGTACTTGGTACAAAAGCCGCAAACACCGTCGGAAAAAATTACATAAATATAAATCCACATTTCAAAGTTTGTACAAAAATTATAAAAATTCAACAAATTTCATCAAAATCCCCCAAAAATTTCAAACTTTTCAATCAAATTTTTTTTGAAAAATTTTGGGTATGCATTAAATTTTAGTAGGTAAAACTGCAAACCGCAAGGCGCTAGAAAATCGCGTTGATTTTTAATAATTTATTTGGCTGGCGGTGTTGTGCATTTTTGCTTCCATATAAAGTATGCTCACCCACGCTCAAAATTTTTTTTATATGGAAGGAAATGCCTAGCAGCGTCTGCAAAAAAAAAATATTAAAAATCAATGCGATTTTCTGGCGTCTTGCGGTTTGCACTTTTACCTCCTAAAATTTAATGGGCTATGAAACTGCATACCCAAAATTTAAAAAAAAAAAATCTGATTATAAAGTTTGAAATTTTTGGGGAATTTTGTTAAAGTTTGTTGAATTTTTATAATTTTTGTCCAAACTTTGAAATATGGATTTATATAGTGTGTGTTGTATATTGCGCTAGTCTTTTATACAAAAACATTAGACATCGAATAAACAAAGTAATATAGCCAAAACTGGTGAAAGTAAAAAGTTTCTATTATTTCTTCCACCACTGTATATGGTTTTTGTTAAAATATGAACCATATTTTTGTAAAGAAATAACAAAAAATTTGTTGCTTGAAAAACATTGTAATAATTTAACATAAATTATCATGCACTCACTTTTGATCGCCAGTGTATCTTGGCAGCCGGTTCAAAAACGCCATGTTTCAGAAAATTTTTCAAGTACGCGCTATTTCAGAACTCGGTTCAAAAACGCCCGATTTTAGCTGGCACTTTAAGGACGCCCTATATCAACATATTTTCAAAATATTTTCAGTTGAGATAGGTTGGTTTTGAGCCATTTTCTGAGATAGGGTGTGATCTTCCACTCAGCCGTCGATATATGGTAAACATATTTATTTTACTTAGAATTGTGCCAAATATGTAAACGGTTTAGTTCGTTTGTTATCCGATATATTCACCGATAATATCAATATTTATCGATATCAAAAAATCTTAAAATAATGCTATCAATATACGTATACATGTACACATATGTATGTGACCGCGCCTGAGAGAAGGATGTTAGCGACTAATCCATCTTTCTTTTTAAGATCTTTAACTATAAGAAACCATCATAAATAATACTATTTTCTCAGACACGGCCACAGATACAAATATGATGTCATCATACATTTATTTGCCTTCATCTATCAGTGTCCTTCTCTGTATGGCTATCGGCATTGGTATTGACATTTATTGTTACCGTTACTGCCTATGGCTTCTTTCTAAGATACTAACAAATCTTTCGAAAGACAAATGAAAGACAGAAGGCAATACAGTTCGGATACTTTAGTTATTCTACTACAAAAGTCGCAGAAAAAAGCTGTCTCATTCACTACTCGAGAGAAAGCACTTGTATGTCACTTTGAGAGAAAGCACTTGTATGTCATTTAGCTCACGTCGCTCCAACAATCGTAATGACCGTAATGGTAAATTCTTCTGTCAAGCGCTATACAAGGTCATCATTAATATCACCAATGACAGTTAAGTCTTAGGTGAACTTTTATATCAGAATCTAATTTTTGTGAAAAGTGCAGGCTATTGAATATATGTAAGCCCTCGATATATTTTTTAATTTTTAGAAACCCATTTTACTATTTTTTCTTTAATTTAATATTTTTTCTTTATCAATCTAAATTAATTTTAATGTTTAAATGTTATTTTTTTGAAAAGAAAAATATTTTTTTTTTAATTTATTTAGTTTTTAGGAACTTATTTTATTTAGTTCTTCTCTAAATATAATTTTTTTTATGTTTTTGATTTAAGTTTCGCATAATTTTTAGTTTTTATTATTTAAAAAAGTTTTTGTTTTTTTAATTTCAGTTAACTTTTTGAAACTTATTTCATTTATTAAGTTTTTTATTCAATTTACTTTTCTTCCATTAATTTAATTTTCTTGTAATTTTAGATTTTATTATTTCAAAACCAATATTATATTTTTTCTTCATTTAATTTTTAGGATCTTAGTTTTGTTTTATTTCTTGCCTTTTCATTTCAAAAAAGAAAATATTTTTTCTTTTATTCTGTTTAAACACCTTGTTTTTGATTTAATGCTTTCTTTTTCTAATTTAATTTTTAGACCTTGTTGTTAAAAAAAAAAATAAAATTTTTTGCAAATTTCATTTAATTTTATTTTCGTTTTTTTCTTGATAAAATTTTTTTTTACTTATTAATTTTTAAACTAAAAGCGTCCTTGTAAATTGAAATCTTTAATGTTTTTAAATTCAAGAGCATTTGTTCTTTCATTTCGTACTCATGTTGTTATTCTACATATATTGCACTGATTATTTAAAAAATATATATATATTTTTTTAATTAATCACATCTTTTAAAATTCCTTAAAATAAAATCCTGCCGTCAGGCTGACAAACTATAAACGCAGTTTTATTATATTTAACCCGTAGTGTGTGTTTTGATGTTTTTTTTGCACGATGTAATCGATAACACGTTAGAGTGATGGCTCTATCAGTAACCAGTCTCCAAGTACTTAGGAGCAACGATTTTCATATCCTCGCTGCACTATTGTACATACACACATACTCATGCATATGTAGATATGTTTGTAAATGTACTACCATTTTCATCCATAAACATTTTCTAATCGTACTTTTTATATTACACCTCAAATACGCCTGATTTATTTTCTAGTTAACAGTCCACCGTGAAATTACTTCGAAATATATTTACTAAGATTTCATAGCAGATTTGATACTTTCGCTGGATACTTGTAATATGCTTACCATTTTGCTTACCTTTGCTTATCTTAAGTCGAATTTACGCACGTAGATTTTACTATGTAGGCAGGCACAATCAAATATCTACTTAGGTTTCGGTCACGTTTCTACACAAATATTGTGCGTTTATTAGTTGGCTTTGGTGGTAATTGTCGCGACATTAAGTAAATTTTTGCCCAAAGTCTAAGTAAACCAATTAAAGTACAATAGCAACAAAAAAAAAATGTTAGAAGAAATATTCCATTTAACTGCGAGTTTATTCAATTAGTTCTTTGTACTTGCTAAGTTCTTTGTTTGCTTCGCTGCTCTGAGTAAATTCCTGGCTTAGCCTTTGGCTTAAGTCGTCACGGCAAACAAAAAAAAAGTAAGAAAAACGATGTATGTATACAAACAAGGATTAACATTTTCTCCAACTTTTGACACAAACAAAACGTGCTAAAGTGTGAAATTTGAGCACAGCATACAAAATAGAATTGTTTGTTTGTAGAAGACTACATACGTACATACATATGTATGTATGCACACCTTGAATGCCGCTTATACGCACATAGTAGACGCACATTCAGAAAATTTACACAGGAGTACATGTATACTTATAATAAACATAGTTTGCTAAAATGAGCTTTTCCTACTCGGGTTGCAGCTGAATGCCTACTTTCATCTATACTTAAGTCAATTTTATGCACCGAACGTGTTAAACATAGCAAAACATTAAAACGAGCAAGTGTACGTACATATGTACACCTATATATTTGTACTATGTAAGTATATATAAGTATGTAGCTTAAACACCAAACACTGTAAAGTTGCTTGTATTAGCACTAAAAGACCGGCGTATTAAAAGCTTTTTTTTTAGTGTTCAATAGCTTAGCCATTTCTTGGCCGATTTTTGTATCAAGGAAATGCTATTTCTTTCCGCTTTAAAAATTTAGGAGACATTTAATTATTTTACTGTAAAATATTGTGAAATTTTATATATGAAAATCGGTCAAAGGACCCCTAAGCATGTTTTCAGTGTTAAGTTTAATGAATGTCTAAACCATTCAGCCTAAATCAATGGAATCTAATGTGACAAATGTACATATGTTTGTATGTAATATGGCATGCTGTTTGATTTTTTTTTTATTAATACACATTTTGTACTAACACCTTAAAATAAGTTTGATTGTAAATATTGATTTGATACGTAGCCCATCAAAGGAGTATTGTGATTAAGTGGAAATAAAAAAAAAAAATAAGTTTTCCTTATGCTGAAACATAACTGCTTATTGAATCGTTAAAACTTCTGAAACATCAAAAGCCAATTTAACGAAAGCAATTTAATTCAAAAATAATTTTAATTTTTTGAATTTTATATGGAAACTG